GGGGGGGGGGGGGTATACCTAGGGTAGAGTATAGCCTTGCATAGTGTATGCCCTTGCGTAGGGGAGTGTATACCCAGGGAAGGTGTAAAGGAGGAAGACTACCGTCTTCACCTGAATAGAATGCCTGGTCGTTAAAGCTGTACTCAGGCAAACTTTCAGTCTAGATACAGGCATAATGGCTGGGCGTTCTATTCGGGTGAAGACGGTAGTGTTCTCTCCTATCCAGATATGTCAGAGAATGTGAATATGGACTCCATGGTTACGGCGCGAACATCCAGCTCGCAGTGCAGACCGGTCTGGATCTGGATATGCAGGTCTGGTTTCCTGTCCAGAGTGTCCAGATCCGTCCCCCCACTCCCTCCCCCCGGAGAAATCCGACTTTTAAAAAATCAAACAAATCTGAAAAAAGATATGTTATGCAGCATTGCAATGCAAAAATCTTTTGGCTGAGGACCATCTCGAAATTCGTAGCCAAATCCAAGGGGAAAAAAATAAAAACGTCTTTTTTTTTATTTAAGGTTTTTAATTTGTTTTTTCACTCCCGACGGTTTGGAGCAGTCCAGACACAGGTCCGGACCGGACGTCCCTGGACTGGTCCGGTATCCAGGTTCGGTGTAACCATGATACGGCCCCTGTGTATCAAATGATGGCACTGCTTTTTGCCCTCTGGGATGCTGTTAAATCTCTTTCCATTGTTGCGTACCTGACATCACGCCTTACGTCTTTAAACTCTGTTTCGATTTTCAATCTATTTTGCTCTTGATCTTAAAAAAAAAAAGAAAAAAAAAGCTCTTGTGATCAGAGTGATCTGCTGTCTTCAGTACCGCTGTCCCAGAAACCACCACTATGTTCATAGTACTTCATACCGTTTTTTCTGATCCTCTAGGACTGGCCACGGGTGGTGGTGGCCTTAGGTCCCCTTGCTGGCCGCCTTTCACCAAAGGGATCAGCAGCCTAGATGTATACAGCCAGGAATTCCGGGGAAGTTCAGGATGAACGATATTTTTAATCGCTGTGGTACTGTTCTCTGGTAGTGTCGCGACCTGGTGGTGTGATTATGCTGTCCATACAGTGCTTGTACAGGGTTCTCTGGCTTTCATACTATACTAAAATCAGGCACCCACGAATCGTTGAAATATGAATCAGACCCCAAGTTCGAATCCAGATGCAATCAAGTGAACAGAATAAGACAACTCTGAATTTCCTGGGAGACGCTCACTTCAAAAAAAAAAAAAAAAAAAAAAAAAAAAAACATAATTAGGCTGCTTTTGTTGATAGTGTCTGAAACCAGCTTTGCTTGTGTTTTTGGCTACCCATAGGATGAGAGGGATGCCCTGAAAAGTGAGAGCTGTATCGTTACCCTCCAGTGACTGTAGAGATAAATGCAGGCCCAGTTGAACCAGTACTGTCCCTGCTTCGTCAAATGGGTTACGCGAGGCCGCATGCAAATAACAAATTTTGCCGCGGCTCGGCTGATGACAAAATGTGCAGCCCTCCAGAGCAGAAATTGGATAGATCGGTATCCACTGTCCCCTTATATATCACTGGGTTTGCCGGGGACTGTGATCACTGTGATGCCCTTTTTCGTTTTTCTTTCGAAAAACTAACCTATACTCTTTTCTTGGTGTACACCTCACACTACTTAGCAAGGGTTTTGGTTCCACAAGCTTCCATACTTGCCTTCTTCACCTGAATACAATGTTACAGTGTACGGTCGTTATAACTGTATTTGGTTTATCTTTCAGTCCAAATAGAAGTAATGACCGTACGTTGTATTTGGGTGAAGAAGAAGGTAACCTTCTTTTGTATCCAGTCTCCCCCTTCTACTCTACTCTATACAGGGAGTAGACCGTGGGGTGCCTTAATCCTCTGCCCAGCATTGGTAGGTGTATTATACATGGGTGTATGGATCTGTGGGAGGCAAAGAAGCTTTCACGAACAGAAGAAGCGGTTTCACCAACTCTCGCCTTTGTGCCAGGATTTACCTTCCAAGCCTCTCCCTCTATCCCCCTTTTTCCCCTCTCGCTAGCGCGGGTTTCCGTCGTTTCCCCTCTCTCTACCCCTGTGCCTCTCTCTTTACTGCTGTGATGACTGACTGAGGTCCTCACTCCATTGCTCTGTCACTGTCGGTTCTCCTCCCTCCTCCCCTCCCCGGCTCCTGTGGCACTCCCAAGTCCCTTGCTCACTTCATCATCCCCCCCCTCCCTCTCTCTCATGCTCCTCTTCCCACCTTTCTCTCCCTTCTCTAATCCTTGCTTTGTCTCTATTTCTGCCCTCTGATCCATTCCTAATTCTGATTTCTGCTCCCTCCCCTCCCGCTCTCGCCGCCCACTTCTGCAGTCAGTCTCCCCTTGTTGCTACTGATGAGTTCTCTTCTGCACCAGTCTCTGTCCACAACCGGTCCCAACCTCCAGCACTAAGCTCAGCTATGGAGGTTGGCGCTCACCATTTCCAGTCTTCTGGATGAATCCACTGTCTCCATTTCACCAGCCGCAACAGGTAAGTCAGGTAAGTCTGTGTCCCTTCTCTCTCTCCCTTACAGGTCAACCTCAACCTCTCTCTTCTCTCTCTATACTAACCTATGGCGCTGGTGCCCCTACTCTAGCTATGGCTAACTAGGCTGGTGCTCTCTCTCTCTCTCTCTCTCTCTCTCTCTCTCTCTCTCTCTCTCTCTCTCTCTCTCTCTCTCTCTCTCTCTCTCTCTCTCTCTCACCTCCTCTTTCCCCCATCCCTCCCTCACCACCAGCACCTCTGCCACCTCCAGTGGTCACTTGGAGCAATCCTCCAGCATCCAGTGGCGGGAGGCAAGAGAACGAATTCACGAGCTGGGCAAGGGCCAGATTTATACTGTTCCCTTGCCCCGTCCTACCTCAGGTTGCCTCCCTGAACGTCGGAGATTTGCCAAACTTAGATGGCCCAGATTTTCCGTTGGCCAGTGTGTGAGTGTGTGCCTGGACCAAATGGGCTTTTTGGAAAACTGTGAAACTCTGTAGACAGCCTTTGATGTGGATATGCGTGTGATCTATGGCTGGTGTTGACCACCGGGAAACCTAGGACTCTACCGTCTTCACCTAATATAACGCCCAGTCATTGTAGCTGTATTTGGAGCACTTTCAGTCCAGATGCAGCGATACTGACTGGGCATTCTCTTCAGGAGAAGACGGTAGGCTTGCTGTGCCCATTTTGGGCCTGAGTCTTAGAATAGAATCCGGCCTTTTGGCTAAGATCAAGTGTAATATCTGTTCTGATAGGTTTAATATCTGATCCGTGACCCATCGGGTCATAAAAAAAAAAAAAAAAAAAAAGAATCCCTAAAAGTTGCTGCGAAAAGTCACCCGAGGTCCTCTTCTGACCTTACCCGTCGACTGGTGAAACTTCTGGAGTCCTAAAACAGGAGACGTGACTTTTGAGGAAGGGAGGGTTGACCCTTGACCCTTGACCCTTGACCCTTGAATCTGGACTCAGACCAAATGTTACGACTCGGGGGGGTGTCTGTACGGATTGTGAATCGAGTTCTCTTTGCAGTATAAGCTTTTTCCTGTTCTTTGTTTCGTTGCTAATCGTCAGTGTGTTCCGCTCTTGGCTGGAGTGGTTTGCAGGTCGGTGCAATGTCGCATGGGAATATCGACCCACAATATATTGATGACACAATTGCGGGTAAGTTTTCCCTCTTGCATAGTCCGGATTCTTTTTATTTATTTATTTTTTGGTCCGGATTTTTCTTGAAGTTTTGTTAGTCAAGAGGGAAGTGAATAAATGTGTAAATGATGTAATGTTATGGTTATTACAAGGCAAGACAGTTTCAAAGAACGTGACGGCGAGAGAGTGGGTTTGCTGATTCGTCCATTGACATTTCAGCTTCGTGTGTGTGTGTGTGTGTGTGTGTGTGTGAGAGAGAGAGAGAGAGAGAGAGAGAGAGAGAGAGAGAGAGAGAGAGAGAGAGAGAGATCTGTTTGACGGTATATACCACGATTTCGCTAGCACCCTGCTACGGTTTTCTCCGGTCAGGTCGAGCGGGAGTGGTCGGGGCCGTCACTATGCGGCCATGCTGTCACCCTGAAGTTCCTGAACCCGTCGGATTGTCTGTGGGGAAGAGTCTGATGCTTGTCCAAGCATGAAAAGTCTTGCCAGTTACACCATCTCCCGCCCCGTGGTGCAAATGTTTAAATCGTCAGTATGGAGCTTTTGCTGTTGTATATGAACTACATACAAGCTGTTAAAACAGGCTGTGTGGATTGTCATTGCTTCCCTTTATTATAAGTTGATGACAGAGCTTTCGCTCATCATCGATGTCCGAGTTTCTGCACCGAAGACGGTGTTCGCTGTGGGATCGCTTTCCCATACATAGTAGCTTATCGAAGAAGAAAAAAGCAGTTGTGTGTGAACTACCTGCTATAGAACAGGATTGGTAAAGAACATCGCGGGGCAGTTATTAACTTATTATTATGTCTGTTATTACATGTCTATATGACTCTATAATTGAGATTATTGCATTTCGCTGATGATTTCAGGTAGTGTGCGAGGTTGCAAAACCCTCTGTTGTTGCCACTTAACAGCTTGAGTATGGGTGTGGAGTCTGTGGACCAAAGGAAATTGGAAATCTTGAGCCAGATTCCTGGCACCAAAAAAAAAAAAAAAAAAAAAAAAAAGAGCAGACGCGACAAAATGTGTAGCCAAACAGGCTTTTGGCCAAAAACGATTTGCGCATTCGATTCCCGTTGGGTTAAAAATAAAAATAAAAAGATTTGCTTTACTGACCCTTGCCAAAGTGTGACCTACTACTACGAGTCCAATCCTAGCCGCTCAATCTACAAGAGTAGAGAGCTAGCAAGTTTTTTTTTTTTTTTTTTTTTTTTTTTTGGCGCAACTAGCACAGACCTGGACAGCATTTTTTTGGGGGGGCTGTAGCTCGTGCATTCCAAAAACTCTCTCAGGTAAACCGTAAACGCCTTGAGTGCCCTTTTTCAAAAAGAAAGAAAGAAATAAAAAAAAACATATACCTTGTGTGAGAACTGCCACCCGTACTGTTTGACCTGTGCCCTTCGGCAAAGAAACCTGTATGACAGACAGTTCACGGATATAAATCAGAAAAAAATTCAAAAAAGTTGAAAAAACTTCAAAAAGCAATTTTTAAAAAAAGACAAATTCTGGCACAAAGACAAAGTAACTCGGAATTTATTAGAGCCATTACCCAGCTTCATTCAGCTTGTGCTGGAAGCCTGGAACATATATTTCATAATTTCAAATCTTTTTTTTTTTTTTTTTTTTGACGATCTCGGAAACCGGGTCCAGCGTCCCATTAGTTTTCCATAAAAAGAAATCCTTCCCCAAAAAATCCACCTTGAAGCTCTCAGACAAAAATCAGAAGACTGAAATGAAACCGCTTTCCAGACCAGGTACGGACTGTACGAGTTTGGGGTGACAACCTTTTTTCGCATCTGTCCGCTCAATCTCGGCATGAGACTCAGTCATGCTGCTTTTCCTCTCTTTGTTTTTCTGTTCTTTTATTTCATTTTCTTTTTTTTTCCTTCGTTTTTTTTTCCCTTTTCTTTTTTTTCTCCCTTTTCTTTTTCTTTTTCTTTTCGCTTCTGACACCTTTTTGTTCTTGTGAAAGGGAGATGGCTGGCCTTGTGATGTAGGCTTTTTGAGCTGACCAGCTCGAAGTAAAACCAGAAAATAATAAAATATTTCATTCTACTCATTTAGTTCCCTCCGGATTCGAACTCAGGTCTGCATTTCAACAGGTGGGTGCACCAACTGAGTAGTAGTAATAGAGAAAGCAGAGTCGGATAGAACCGACGCGAACGCAAAACACATAGCCGCAAACGCAGCCTGAAAAATGTGAAAAAATATCTCGAAAAAAATCCGAAGATATACAATGAAGCACATGTCATAGCTTTCGCTATGGTTCCACCGCCATCAAGACAGAGGAGCTGGCATCCCCGACTAGTTTCGGTCGCCGCCAGTAGCGACCTCATCAGGGGGTGTTTTCGAGATGCTTGAAAGTAACCTTGGGAAACTACTTATAGTCGAGCTACATCACTTACCACCCCTACCGCCTACGCTAGAAGCTTTTACTTCAAACACTTTGCTCCTAGCTCGGTTTCTCAGAGAAATTATGTGTTACCCTACTAACCCAGTCACTTTTTACCTGCTTGTACGCTAGAAGATCATCGGGCAGACCCTGTTTTTCCGTAGCTTGTCCGGAGTAAATATTATCTCCCGCCGTTTTTCAGCTTTCCCGCTACTTTGCAGAACCTTACACAGAACCGGTACCTGTCCATCTATTCGTAACCGCGGTCGAAAAGACGCGCGTAATGCGTACAAAACTTATTCCCGAAATCCACTGGCACGGAGAAACTCTACTTTCCCGCTATTTTCCCTGTCTGGTCACAGCCGAACATACTCAGTCTCACAATCCTGAAAACGTTATTTACTACTGAGAAGGCTTTTGGTCCAGTAAATTCTCGCCAACCACCGATATCCGAAGTCGTTCTGCACAAATCAAAGGAATCCCGCAGACAATCCAAAGAAAACCTATAGCATATCCGACGACAGCCATGAAAATACGAAAAAAACACAAGTATTTGATCGAAATCCGGCCCCGTCCGAAGTAAAAAACAAACCATAAAACCCAAACTAAAACCCAAAAAAAACGGATCAGCAAACGACAAACGTTAATACGACAATCAAAACGAAAAAACAATAAAAAAATAAGATAAACCAGATCCGCTTCTCCTAGCCTATCGATCTGTACCCTGGTCAGAGTGACCATACCCCCGTAGCGTTACTCCCCTCTACGTAGTCCGGAGTAGATTGATCCACCCTTGCCTTACCAACCACCAAGGCTTTTACTCCATTCCTCCCATCCAGGCGCTTGCTTGCTTGTGAATTTCCTTAAGCAATCGTTGAAGATCCAAGCCGGGTAATCCTGTAAACGCAGCTGTCTCTTCATTGTTGACAAACCCAGGCCTGCAAGCTCGTCAGACGAAGTCATCGCCCGAATTCTGTGCAAAGCGCTAGTCACAACTGCCTTCTTCTGTCTCAGAGTCGAAAATGAACCAAAATCCTGAAAAGTCCGATACGAGAAGACTTTCTCCCCACTCCAGACCTGTTCGAAGTTCTTAGGAAAGCTTTGGCATGAGACCTGGTTATTCCAGATTTCCACCCTCGTACCCAAGAAATCCCATGTCCCTTGGCCCTCGTCTGTTCGCTTCAGAATCAGTCTTTTGTCATAAGTCCTCTCGAATTTCTTCATTATTCGTTCCCGTCGGGCGGAGCCGTTCCTCATTGGGCACCAAATTAGGAGGGTGACGTCATCAATCAGTCTCCATCCTTTTACCAAGGATTTGTCGGAGCCGAGGCTTGATAAGAACGAACACTCGTTAGCTGCGCATAGGATACAGGCCAACGGGGCGCTGCTACTCTTCCCCATTGGGATCCCGATATGTTGCTGGATGAGCCTGCCAGATGCGACAACGTAAGTATTCCTCAGCTCAAAAGTCACCATTTTTCTCACTTCCTCAAAACTGATTTCCATCCAAAATTCGTTGCCTGTCTTTTTGGCGAAAGCGGCACTCATACCCACTTATTCGCCTCCTTTACTCTATCTTTTAGTAGCCCCGTCGATTTCAAATTAAAATGCGTTGATTTTGGTAACAAAAACAATAAATGGTTCAGTGCTTTGGCCACTCTTCTTCCTGCAGTCTTTGATGGTTCGTTAAAGGAAGGGCTGATTGGGCGGAACCTACAGATATCCTTGTTCTTTGGTATAATGTAGGCTCTACCCACGAGCCCTTTCCCATCCCATCTTCCAAGTCGTTCTAGACCCTCTTGTTTATACTCCATTTCACATCGAACCAAGATTTCTGCCTCATCTTTCGATACCACAGTGAAGCTATCGTTTCCCCAGAATACTTCTTCCATCCCTTTCGCGTACACGATTGGACACATTACCGCTGTGTCTGCTGCGTTTCTGTCGACTGCACAGCACACCAATCCCTGACACAACTTTTTTACATCTCGTACATCCCCCAGATAGTCATTTTGTGTCACTATCCTTCCATTCACACAGCAGCTCATCTCCTGCGTACTTACCGTCGACCGCAATCCCATGATTACTAAATTGTCGTTCACTTCTCTCACGGCTTTCTCCGTCTTAGTACCCCCACCTTCGTATAGTACGTTACGTGCATTCAGCACAAAACCACATATCCCTTCTACCTCACTAAGTCTGCATTGCACGTGACCCTCCTTGCGTGGGAGAGCGCTGTCTGCACATGAGCAGACTTCCACGAACTGCTGCGAGGCGGTTCGATGGTTATGGAGAACCTCTCCAACAGTTTGGTTTCGTTTCCAAACCATCAGGAGTCTCCGACAAGTGTAATCAGCCAGAGATTGCGGTAGTTCCTCACGAATCTTCCTCGATACTATCTCCCTGAGCTTCCTTAAGGACAGTTTAGGATCGTAAGTCACGCTAACACATGCCTTCTTTCTGATGTTAAAACGAAATTTCTTCCACAGGACCCCCGCCAACGTATCCTTCCGGCTACTCCTCGTTGCTTGCCTTGAGAACAGGTCTACAGCCGTAACCAGTTGCATGAGTTTATCAATGCTATAACTGTAGAGCTTCTTTTTGTACCATGTGTTCCGGGTAACCTGGTGGAGTTCACGTTTCCGCTCAGTGTTAGCCTTCGTTAATGTCTTTCCCTGCCACCTCACTACCGTGACTAATCCACCAGTTTCCAACTTCGATTTTAGCTTACTGATTGGTTTTACCTCCCCTTCCAAATTAACCACTGTTTGACCGATCTCCTTAACAATCTGATCCCACTTTTGGTCCGTAGGGTCATGGGTCTGTTTTTTTTTTGTTTTTTTTTTTTGTTTTTTTTCAAAAAAGTGTGACAGTCTGGAGATATATCCACAGGTGACCGGGCCCAGGTAATTTGTGCCCAGAGTCCATTTCCATTGCTTCTCCCATATCGTCTTCTCACCCAAATACAATGCACACTGATCTGGAATGTATACAGGGTATCTTTCCGACCAGATTAATTCCATGATGAGGGTGCATTGTATTCAGGGGATGGCGTGGCGGTACAGCTTCGATCATTTCTTGATTTTAGTGCAAAACAGAGTCCAGATTCATCTTCTGGATCCAGATCCAGACATCATCCAGACCATTACCCAGGCCTGTATCTGGATGTCGCACGGGCCTCTGGACCAGATCCGGACAGGGGTACGGGGGTGAGATCCAAGAAATATACTTATTATTTGGAGTTATAATACAGTTATTTGAACTTATTAAACTCTTATTTCCTTTCTGGTTTTATTTTATTTTCTCAATTTGTTTTTCTGGGATTTGGTTAGCAATTTTTCACAATGAGCTTCAGCCAGAAGTTGTTTATATTGCAATGCTAATTCGAAAAAAAAAAAAAAAAATCGTTACATTCCACGATTTTCTTTGATTTTTTTCGAAAACCCAAAATTTGGGGGCAAAATCCAAAAACCCTTCAAAGAAGCTTTAAATAAACGTACATGTAATCTGGACACAGATACCATCCAGGTTCTGGTATCCAGACACGGAGATCCAGACTGCTGGCCACATTCATATCCCGTCCGAAAGTCCGGATCTTACCTATGGGCAAGAAAAACCTTCTTTTCCTTTATTTTTCTTGTTTTTTTTAAACATAAACCTTCTGTCTCGACATCATTTACTTAAATTTTCATAATTTTTTAACGAAATGTCTGGAACCGCACCCAGCAACACAAAATTCCAAAACAGTTGACGATATATACGTGTATATCTATATACATATATAATTTATATATTTGATATATTGTCACATAACTATGAACTAAAAGAGCGCACTTGTGTATGTACAGCTCTGTTTTTTCAACTTTTTTGACGATATATAAAATACTGAAAGAAATAAGAATACACTAAAACAAGGAAGAAGAAGAAGAAGACACTGTTTTCTGTCTTTCTGGTTTGTCTGTCTATTTGCCTGTCTGTCCTTTCTTTTTTTTATTTTCTTCGCTCACCTTATTTCTTCTTCTACTTCCCGTGTTTGCACTCTTGGTCAATAGTCCTGTCACTATATATATATATATATCGTCACAAACAGAACTTCCCGGTAAACCGTAGGCAGAGAGAGAGAAGAGGACAACAAACGAGGGGCTATATATATATACACCGGGCAGCTCTGTTTGACGATAGATTTATAGGGTTCATCCTCCTGATGAGTCAGTCGGTGAAACTCCTCCTGATGAGTCAGTCAGTTTGTCACAGCCCCTCTCGTTTGTTGTCCTCTTCTCCTCTTCTCCCTCCCTCTCTGCCCACAGCTTTACCGGGCAGCTCTCTCTCTCTGACAATATAACGAACGAGGGGGGGCTGGAACAAACTCTTTCGTCGGAGTGTTTCACCAACTGACTCATCAATCAGTAGAGAGGCTGAACCCTCAAAAACAGTCTGCAGAAAAAAATCCCTAACAGATTACACACTGTAAGTGATAATCCACCCTAACCCCCGGTTGTGGCTAAGCATCAACGACTGCCGGACAAAGGATACCCTGAGGTGGTGGGGACCACCAACCACTGCAGGCCTCAAGGTACCTGTGACGAAAAAAAAAATCAAAGCAGACTACCACTCACCCACACCAGACGCAAAACTCTACGGACTGTCAGTTCACACCCCATCTCACAATCACAAGCCAGCAAAACAGTTACGAAACAAAGAGAGGTCTGTCACAGTAAAAAAAAATAGACTTCAGACACGCCGCTGGCACTAGAGGCAGCACAGCATGGCCGCCTACCGGCTTCCCCCGAACATAACGCACCCTAAAAATGAATGTATACAAATATTTCCGGCCAGATACAGCCAAAATGAGGGTGCGTTGTGTTCGGGGGAAGACGGTAGGTAGTGACGGGCCCGACCACTGCCGCTCGACCTGACCCGCGAAAACCGTAGCAGGGTGCTATATGATATCCTGTGACAATATATATATATATAGGGTTCAGCCTCCTGATGAGTCGGTGAAACTCCGACGAAACAGTTTGTCACAGCCCCTCGTTTGTTGTCCTCTTCTCTCTCTCTGCCTAAACGGAACTGGCCGGTAAACCGTAGGCAGAGAGAGAGAAGAGGACAACAAACGAGGGGCTGTGACAAACTGTTTCGTCGGAGTTTCACCGAATCATCAGGAGGCTGAACCCTCAACAGTCTGCAGAATCCCCTCACTGATTACANGAACCCTCAACAGTCTGCAGAATCCCCTCACTGATTACACTGTAAATGATAATCTACCTTAACCAAAATCAAAGTAGACTATCACTCACCCATATATATATCGTCACAAACAGAACTGCCCGGTAAACCGTAGGCAGAGAGAGAGAAGCGGACAACAAACGAGGGGCTGTGACAAACTGTTTCGTCGGAGATATATATCGTCACATGAATATCAGAGCGCAAAGGCGAAAAAAAACAGAAGAAAACAAGAAAAAAATAATTCGTTTTTTTATCTTCTTTCTTACAACTCCCCCTGTTCAGAACCAACAGAGCTGCCCCCGGTAAACCGTAGGCAGAGAGGGAGGGAGAAGAGGACAACAAATTTATAAATAAATTAATAATACATCTACGTAGGTATATGGTATATATCGTCATATATTATATAACGTATGCATACAAAATCTCCAGAACGGATACATACCGTTGCCCTAAGCTGTTGATCTGAGTACTTGGGATCTATGTTAAGTCTGAAATGGGCTTCGGCAGATTCAACGAACTTAGTCGATGCAGACTGTTTGATCATGGCCACTGCCGTTCTGGGGTCGTACTCCTGCTTCCTCACGCGCACTCTCTGAGTCTCAAGGTAACGCCTTGAACGCCCCTGCAAGCACCCAAACCAACACCACCCCCTCACTTCATCATTAGATTATCATATGACTGACTATTCATTTATTAGCATATCAATATTACTTGCCACCTTTTTTTTAAATGTAAATCGTGACAAAATGCACCATGATAATCGCATTGGAAATCTGAAATGGCTTCAAAAAAAAAAAGAAAAAGAAAAAAAAACTGACATTTTAGGCTACCAGAGTGGCCCGGGACCACTTGCCCGGCCGGGCCAAAAAGACAAATTGAAAAAAAAGTTATATATATATATTTTTTAATTTGGTAAAGAATTTCGATGTGACCCTGAGACGAAAGTTGTTCAGTTTATTTTTCTGCATAACATAATTTTTTTTCAGAATTTTTGGATTTGTTTTTTTTTTCCCTTTTGCTGGGACCTCCTATGCTCCTTGCACGGCCAGGCAGCCCGGGCAACACAAGGTGACCCGGGCGGACCGGGTGGTAGCCTGGCTGACTTTTTCATGTTCATTGCCTGCTTGTTTGCCTACCGTTTCTCTTTCTTTTTCTTTTTCTTTTTCGTTTCCTTTTTTTTTTCTCTTGTTCGACTATCCAATTGAACTACCCGACTGATTGATTGGTTGAACGACTACCTAATTACTAATTAGTATTTAGTTGATTGATTCACTGTTTTTTTTTCTAGTATTAATTGCCAATTTTACAAATGATTTTGCTGTTCACCGAATTGCCGACTCGGAGTCAACGGTCCACTGGTTGATTGAATTTACCAATCAAGAATTTGACCAGATTCGCACTGTACGGGGACCCAAATTGGTCCCAATACATTCGAACTGTTGGCGTTTGCCGAGTGGTACCGAGGAGAGACCCATTAGACCCATTGGCTATAAGAAATCGCTAATTTAGTCGGGGTCTGTAGGGGACAAAAGGGCGAGTGGTGGTCCCGGGACAGCCCACAGTGCTTGGCACTGGCACTACCACTGCAGGTGTGCCCAGCCCCACATCACCCGTGATAAGGGGGGGCTGGTACAGCTTCGCTCTCGGATTAATACAATGGGCCTCGCTCCGACTACAGAGCATTCTACGTGTATCTGGAGCTGGTAGTGGTCCCGATGCATTCAAAATCTTGGATCAGTGTGAATGCACCTGGTCAACAGAACAGTCCGTACACATGTCGAGTGTTGAGTAGTGGAGCGAGGCCCTACCGCGCAAAACCATACCTTCCCCATGGCTTAGGTTCGACAGAGGTACAGGATGGTCGGTGTTCCATCATTTTAATAATATCTCAACCAAAAAAAAAAAAAAAAAAAAAAAAAAAAA